AAAAAACCATCTCCTCTAAAAAAAAAAAAAAAAAAAAAAAAAAAAGTCTCAAAAGAGACTCGCAGAACATCCTAACAATCGATTTCCTTCTTTGTTTCATCTGTTATTTTCCTTGTTCTTCTCATCTCTTCCATCCTTCCTTTTCTTCGTGACATTTTTAGCCTTTGACGATAACCTAGCTATTTGCAGCGGCAAAGAATTTTCCACCCAACTCATCTTCAAAAAAACAAACAAACAAACGGACAGACAATGGCTTTCAAACAACATTCACTCAGACTATACATACAACACTTTAATTCAATTTTATTATATTTTTAAAAATTAAAAAAACCATCACGTACAGATAAACAAAGTCAGTAGAAATCATAAGATATCCTAATTAATTATGTGCAAATAAGAACTGAGGAATGTTTAATAAGAGCACTTCACTTGGTTAATGACAAAAATTAATCAAGTAAGAAGCATAACTTCATTCAAAAGACTATTTATTTGTTTATTTATTAAGAAATTCAGAACATGGATTTGAATCAAACAAGAAGAAATCCTTCCCTTTTTTTTTCTACAGATTAATGTCGTTGCAGAAATATAAATAATAGTATTAATTAGAATGAAAGACTAAACCCTAGACCCTAACCATAACCCTAATGTAACCAAATTATGTAACGGATCAACAGTGCATGATACGCATGAAATGGAAGTAAAGTAAAAATCAAATTTTGTTTTGTTGAGAAATGAAGCACAAAATACACACACATTTAATTCCCAGCACAAAAATATATAATAGTTTTAAGACAATGAAAGACCTAGATAACTTTTAAAGAGAGAAATTAATAATGGAAGAGATCAGTAGAAATGGAGAATATATAGAAAGGGAATGTTTGAATGAAATACCTGATCCTGATCGATCGAAAAGAGAGAGAACGAGAAATGATTTGAGAGTGGAGAAGAGATCAGACATGGCGTGGAAAACAAACGGATACTCTTCAAACTAGTAAATAGAACTCACACAGTTTTGAAGAGAGATTATTAAGAGAGGTTATTTTGGAGAGGTAGAGATAAAGAGAAAACGCAAAACTGCAAGTGGGGATATATAGGCCTCGTTCATTTCACCGATTCGAGTTTTCGGTTTTAAATTTCTACAGTAAAAAGTTCTCAGAAAATGTCACATCTAACTTTTTTTGCTACAGTAAAAAACTCTCAAAAAATGTCACATCTCAGCTCGAATTGAAAACTCGAATCCGCAAAGTGAACGAATCCATACGAAAAGAAAAAAGAGGAGATGGAAGGAAGTTAAAACTTAAACGAAAATAATTGAGGGACCGGTTATCAAATATTATAAAAAGGGAAGCTTAGTATATTAATTTTTTGAATTCATTACTCGTCTTTTCTTTTCCATGGCAAAAAGTCTTGTCTTTTCTTTCTTCTCTTCCAATTTCTTCTTCTTCAAGGTCGTGTTAATTACTCATAAGACACTTGTTTGGCTAGTATATTATCTACTATAGTAATGAAAGGAATGAAAATTAATTGAGAGTTTCTTTTTCATCGGTAATCACGGAACAAAAAAACATTGTTTTTTTTTTTTATTGTTAATTGTTTGCTATTAACTCGAAGTCTCTCCAACTAATGTGAGATTTGACCCGTCTTTTTAGATTTTAATATTAGTAAAAATAGTTTATTTATACTGCCATACCTAACAACAATCAATTCCTAAAAAAAAAAAAAAAGGGTATAATATTAAAAGTGATATTTGACTCCCAGTATTAATTTACTTTTTTTTTTTTAAAAGAATTTCGTCATTTTCATTTTCCTTTTCCTTTTCTGGTTTTGGTAACTTTAAGTTAAAATACATAACTATGTTTTCAGCAAAGCTATACATAGCTATTTCGATTTAAATAATATACCAAAATGAAAAATTTACATGACTGTATCAAAAAAATTTTGTCATCGAAAAAATTGAGTTTCCCTTTCTCCTTTTCTTTCTTTTACTTCTTTTCCGAGGATTCTTGTAGATCAAGCAGTGAAGAATCAATTGTTTATGTAATCGATTACGAATTACCCAGATGTACTAGCTAGTGCTGCTTGTAATCCACTAATCCTGTTGGACGTTGGTGTTCCTTGCATCACGACATGTCGTTTACTATTGGCATGCTCTACGAAACGACATGTCGTCTCTATTGCACAAAAACTGACTCTTCAGTGGAACGCCCTTTTCTATGGAATAAAAACCTACATGCCGTTTTATTTTTATTTTACATATTTAATTTTTAATTTTGTTAACTATTGTTTTTACTCTTTTTAGGTGTATTTACCAAACCGTAAAGAAATGTAATGAAAAAGGTAATAAGATTGAAAAGAAAAGTAATAAGATTGCTCT